CTCAGGCAATTCTCTAGCCTCGGCCTCCCAAAGTGCTGGGATTACAGGCTTGAGCCACTGGGCCTGGCCGCCTGTTGAATTTTATAAGAAATTTCACGGCCAGGCTTGGTGGCTCAGCCTGTAATCCCAGCACTTTGGAGGGTCAAGGCGAGTAGATTACCTGAGCTGGCGGGTTCAAGATCAACCTGGGCAACTTGGCGAGACCTCGTCTCTACAATAAATGAATAAATAAATAAATAAATGAATAAACAAATGAAATTTCCAGACCATTTTCTAGAGTGACTGTAGCATTTTACATTTTACACTCTCGCCAGCAGTGTTTGAGTAATACAATTTCTCTATCCTCACCAGCATTTGACATTGTCACTGTTTTTCATTTTAGTAATTCTGATAGGCATCTCACTGTGGTTTTCATGTACAATTCCCTAACAGCTAATGATGCTGAACATCTTTTCATGTGCTTGTTTGTTGTTGTATATGCTTTTTGGTGAAATGTCTCTTCATATATTTTGCCTGTTTTCTAATGGATTGTCATTTTACTGTTGACTTTTAAGAGTTCTTTATATAGTCTAAAACACAATCCTTTGTCAGATATGTGGTTTGCAAATATTTTCTCCCTGTCTGTAGCTTGTCTTTTCACCCTCTTTACATGATCTTTCACAGAGCAAAAGTTTTTAACTTTGATGAATTCCAACAAAAGTTTTATAATTTTGTGTTCTATGTTTAGGCTCATGGTCCATTTTGAATTATATTTTGTATAAGCTGTGAGATTTATGTTGAGGTTCATTTATTTGCCTACAATAGCCCATTGTTTTAGTGTCATTTGTTGAAAAGTCTGTACTTCTTTCATTGAATTGCTTTTGTACATTACCCCCAAATCAATTGAGCATATTTAATTCATGCCTTTGAAAAATCAATCAGGAACCAAAGGGCCACGCATTGCACTTGTTTGATTTTTTTTTTTTTTTTTCTTCTTAAGTCAGGGTCCCACTCTGTTGCCCAGGCTGAAGTGGAGTGACATGATCATGGCTCACCACAGCCTCAAACTCCTGGGCTCAAACAATCCTCCTTCCTCAGCCCCCTGAGTAGCTAAGACTACAGGTGCATGCCACCACATCAGGCTGAATTCTTGAATTTTTTGTAGAGTCAAGGTCTTACTATCTTGCCCAGGTTGGTCTTTAGCTTTTAGGCTAAAGCACTCCTCCCATCTCAGTCTCCCAAAGTGCTGGGATCACAGGTCTGAGCCACCACACCCAACTTGTTTGATCTATTTCTTAGATCTCCACTACTCTAGAGAGGTTACCCTTCATATTTTCCCTGGCTATTTATTTGTTAAGAAACAGAACCAGGCCAGGTGTGGTGGCTCAGACCTATAATCCCAGCACTTTGGAAGGCCAAGGTGAGAGGATTGCCTGAGCCTACAGGTTCAAGACCAGACTCAACAACATGGTGAGACCTCATCTCTACAATAAATCAAAAAATTAACCAGGCATGGCAGTGCACTCCTATAGTTCCGGATACTCGGAAGACTGAGGTGGAAGGATTACCAGAGCCAAGCTGGGGTGGCCATGAGTGTACCACTGCACTCCAGCCTGGGCGACGGAGTGAGACTCCAACTCAAAAAAAAAAAAAAGAAAGAAACAGAGCCATATGTCCTATAGGATGCCTCATAGTCTGGATTTGGCTTACTGCATCCTTGTGATTACATTGCATATGCTCCTCTAGCCTCCATTCGTGTATTCATTTATGTGTGTTTGCGTATTTAGTTCTGTATGATTTTATCACATGCATAGGTATGTATATTCACCACCACAGTGAAGATACAAAACAGTTCTATCACCACGAAAATCTACATCGTTGTTCTTCTGTCCTCCACTTCATGTAAACTGTTAGTTAGCTCTAGAGGCTTGAACAGATGCAGGTCTGATTTTTTTCTTTTTTGCAAAAATACTGTATAAGTAGTGTTGTGTGCCACTACTTGTATCTTACCAGGAGGTTCATAATTCCTTGATATCTTTAAGTTCTAAGATTAATCAGCAGGTTCAGGTATTGTGAACCTGATCTATAGGTTATAGAATTATCTGCAGCCTTTCTCTTAATTTTTATCATCCATTTACGATCATTGCCTAGGTCCATCATTTCACTAGGATTTGCAAAATGGTAATATTTTAATGCAATCCCTTCCTCTCTATTTATTAGCTGGAATACTTCTATAAAGAACAACTTCACATCATCAACTGTGGGTAACCCTGAAATACAGTTCTTATAAAAGACACAATATTTTTAACATAAAAGATCTGACCATGCTTGTACTTCTGACCAAGGTGGAGTAACAGGGAACAGATTTGCCATTCCAATAGAAAAAACTAAAAAGAAACACAGACAAATTATATAAAACAAAATTATCAAGACATTGAAGACCAGGCACTGAAAGACACTGATCCATGAGAAATAAGACTCAAGTAAGATCAGCGCTATGAATGCCCCAACTTACAACCTGGAAAAAGTTTCTAGGCTACAGCATAAGGAAAAGGTCCCCAGGTGGATCCTGGCAGTCTAGGTAGGTGGCTGGAGTATGCAGGATAGAATACCAAAGAGAGAGCTGCATAGAGAAAAAACTGTGGAACTGCAGAAGATTCATTTGAGCACTGACTGATCTGCACATGTATGTGCAGAAATTACTTAATGCCAAGGAAAGGACAATCTTGGCAGAGCTCACACAGAGCCAGAAATAATGCCTGTTCCCACCAGTCAGCGTGGATAGCCTCATAATTCATGGAGCATCAGGTAGTCAGAAGTTTTTCCCTTAATAGCGTGACAAAATTAGCCCTAAACTAAATGCTACTCTGGTCCTACTTAACAAAGCTTAAAAATACAACCTGAAAAAATTAAAGTTTTTGCAAGTAACCTAACTGCATCCCAAGACAAAGCTCAAGAATATGTATAGGACTTCAGAAGTATTCAGAACCCAAAAAAGTAGAATTCACAACTTCTGACATCCAATAAGAAATTACCCAGGCATGTAAAATATCAGGAAAGTATGGCCCATAATGAAGAGAAAAATCAATCAAAACTAACCTAAAAAGGCCACAGATGATAGAATTAGTAGACAAGGACATTTAAACAGTTATTATAACTGTATTCCTCATGTTCAAGAAACTAGAAGAAAACCTGAGATTGAGTGGAAACATGGATTTGCTGATTGAATTTAATACACAATAAATGGAAGAAATTTTCATTAGCTATTTTTATCCTACACAATGTTAGGTATAACTAGGTATTTAATAGGCATGACATATGGGATATTGTGGTGAAAATGCATGAAAAAAACTTCCTGCCTATTTTCTTCCATCCCGCAGTGCTGACCATGCTGCTTGAACAGGATTGTGTTGTTACAGGTGTCAGTGTCATTTGAGGATGTGACCGTGGACTTCAGCAGAGAGAAGTGGCAGCACTTGGACCGTGCTCAGAGACACCTGTACTGGGATGTGACACTGGAGAACTACAGTCACCTGCTCTCAGTGGGTAAGCACAGCCACCCTATGTATCTGCGAGGGGCCCCAGTGAGGGCGTTTCTATTCTCAGCTGCTGAGTGCTGCCTGACGTCTAGACTGCATGATGGTACCATCCTTGATTTGTCTGGGCTTCTTCAGTCCCTTTTCACCTCTGTGATTATGACTCTGTTCTCAGTGAAATGTGGTTGCTTTTCTGAAGAGCAAGTGAGTGCCAATGAAAGGCCCTTGAAACCCAATCAGCTGGACCCAATCCTGTTAACAGAGTACCAAATTCCCAAGCCAGAGGCCACCTTCAAGTTGGAGCAAGGAGAGGGAACATGGATGCTGGAGGGAGAAGCCCCCCATCAGAGCTGTTCAGGTGAGTGATCAAGGCAAATGGGGACATCGAAGTCAATCACACTTTTCCTAGGAGAGGCCAGTGCCTTTGAAAGGCTGTGAAGATAACCATCTAGAAAGTTCTAAACTTTTGGAGATAGCACTAGCCCCTCAGATACCTAAATGCCATCTCCAAGTATGACCCTTGCCAATATCCATTGTCTTCTTTGCTTGGCTTTTTGGCAGGAGAGTGATCTGCCTCCTCTCCCCCATTCTTGCACTCTGGATCAAACGCCAAGTTGCTCTTTCAAGGACCACCCCCCTTTCTTGTTTTATCTTCCCTAACATTTTGTGCTCCTTCTGTCCCTTGACCCCCATGGTCTTAGATTCAGTTCTTATGTCTCCAGGTTTTTATGGATCTGCCTCCTGTCCAAATCAGTGTCCCATTCTTGCTCCTGCTTAATCCCCCTTTGTTTCATTTCCTTTCTAGCTTCTCGAACTGTCCCCACAAACGGCCTCACATGGATTCCTGTCTGTCAGCACTGCCATCGGAATCTATACTCTTCCTCGCCGCCCTAGGCCTCAGCCCCAGCTGCTTACCTCATGGTGTTCATACTTTCGTTCCCTTTCTCTTCTAATTAGCTCCTTTGAACATTTAATTATATTTGTTATCCACATGGGATTCCCTTCTGTGAATTGCTTGTTCCTATTGTTATATCTATTTCTAACCACAGATGTTTGTCCTTTTCTTATTGATTTGTACCTTGTTTGTTTTCTTATCTTTACAGACTTTCCTTCCTTCATTCCCTCTAACTGAAGGGCCCTTAGCTAGGGCCCTGTATACTGTCCTGTGCTCTTCCTTTTATAGAATTTCTTCCTTAATTTACCTGTTTAAAAAAAAAAAGTGCAGCTTCCTGCCATGTTCATTTAATTTTACACAAACACGCTCTTTGAGGCTGAAGCAAATCTGACTGGTTTTCAATGTAAAAATAAAGTATAAAAACTGTTCTTGGAGCTATTTATTTATTTATTTATTTTTGAATTGGAGTCTCACTCTGTCGCCCAGACTGGAGTGCAGTGGCGGCCACCGCAGCCTCGACCTGCTGGGCTCCGGCGATCCTTCCGCCTCAGCCTTCCAAGTAGCTGGAACTACAGGCACGTGCTACCATGCCCGGCTAATTTTTTGATTTATTGTAGAGATGAGGTCTCGCCAAGTTGCCCAGGCGGGTCTCAAACCCGCGGGTTCAGTCAATCCACTCACCTCAGCCTCCCAAAAGCACGGGATTACAGGCTGAGCCACCGAGCCCAGCTGGAGTTATTTCTACATAGAACTTGTCTCTAATCCTAACAAGAATTACAGAAGGAGGAAAAGGAGGAGAAGGAGGAGGAGGAGGAGGAGGGGAAGGGTATTACTATTTTTAATTCACTTTTTTTTTTTTTAGCTGGAGTCTCACTCTGTCGCCCAGGCTGGAGTGCAGTGGCACACTCACGGCCACCCCAGCGTCGACCTGCCAGACTCCAGCGATTCTTCCACCTCAGCCTTCCAAATAGCTAGAACTACAGGCCCGTATTCATTTTTTTTTTTGAGTTGGAGTCTCACTCTGTTGCCCAGACTGGAGTACAGTGGCCGCTCCCGGCCACCGCAGCCTCGACTGCTGGGCTCCGGCGATCCTTCCGCCTCTGCCTTCCAAGTAGCTGGAACTACAGGTGCGCGCCACCATGCCCGGCTAATTTTTGATTTATTGTAGAGATGAGGTCTCGCCAAGTTGCCCAGGCGGGTCTCGAACCCGCGGGCTCAGGCAATCCACTCACCTCATTTTTTTTTTTAAAGCTCGGGGTAAACACTGCAGCCGCAAGCACCGCTGATGAGTATCCCCAGGCTAAACAGGGAACGAGCTAAAGGAGTCTTCCCTCCATTCTGAACTGTTTTATTTTTCTATTCTATTGATTTCTCTATAGCTGTCCCTAGGTATCCACAGGGGATTGATTCCAGGACCTCCCCAACTCCCCATGCGAAAATTCACAGATGCTCAAGTCTCTGATATAAAATGGCATAGTAGTACTTGCATATACCCTATACACCTCCTCTCATATACTTTACATCATCTCTAGATTACTTATAATCCCTAATACAACAGAAATGCTATGTAAATAGTTGCTATACTATATTGTTTACAGAATACTGACAAGAAAAAGGTCTATACATGTTCAGTACAGATGCAACCATCCATTGTTTGGATGCATCTGCAAGTTGGTTGAATCCATGGATGCAGAACCCATGATACAGAGGACCCACTGTACCTTTAGTCTTTGCGTTATAACTGTGCTATAGTATCATATTTACCTGTGTAAAAATGATGTTTCTCACAGCTATTCAATTCTTTTATTTGATATATTAGTATCTGGTGCTGGGAAAAGTGGATAGTTACATGCAAAAAAAAAAAAATGTAACTTGATCCCTGTCTCTCCGCATATAAAAAAATGAACTCAAGATTGATCAAAGACTTAAATGTCAGACCCGAAACCATAAAAACCCTAGAAGAAAACCTAGAAAAAACTCTTATGGACATCAACCTAGGCAAATAATTTACGGCTAAATTCCCAAAGTAAATGCAACAAAACAAAAATAAACAAGTAGGATTTAATTAAATTAAAAAGCTTCTGCACAGCAAAAGAAATAACCAATAGAGCAAATAGGCAACCTGTAGAATGGGAGAAGATATTCACAAACCATACATCTGACAAAGGACTAATATCCAGAATCTACAAAGAACTCAAACAAATCAGCAAGAAAAAAACCAAATAACCCCATTAAAAAGTGGGCAAAATCATGAACAGATACCTCTCCAAAGAAGAATATAAATGGCCAACAAACATATGAAAAAATGTTCAATATGACTCATAATCAGGGAAATACAAACTAAAACCACAATGACATACCACCTTACACCAGTCAGAATGGCCATTATTAAAAAATCAAAAAACAATAGATGCTAGAGTAAATGCAGAGAAAAGGAAACACTTATACACTGTTGGTGGGAGTGTAAATTAGTACAACCTCTACAGAAAGTGGTTTGAAAATTACTCAAAGAACTAAAAGTAGATCATTGATCCAGCAATCCCACTACTAGGTATCTACCCAAAGGAACAGATGTGGTTATATAAAAAAGACACCTGCACCTGCAAGTTCATCACAGCACAATTCACAATTGCAAAGACGTGGAATCAACCTAAATGCCCATCAATTGAGCAGTAGATAATGAAAATGTGGTATATATTCACCATGGAATACTAAGCAGTCATAAAAAAGAAAGAAATCAATTACTTTGCAGCAACATGGATGGAGCTGGAGATCGTCATCCTAAGTAAACTGACTCAGAAACAGAAATCCAAACACCACACATTCTCACTCACATGTGGGAGCCAAAGGTCACAAAGATGGAAATAATAGACAATGGGGACACTAATAAGGGAGAAGGGGACAGGAGAGCTAGGGTTCAGAAACTATCTATGGGGCACAATGTTCACTATCTGGGAAATGGTGAGACCCAATTCCCACCACTCCACAATATGTTCATGTAGTAAACACTCATGTGTACCCCCTGAATCTAAAATATAAATAAATAAATTGGAAATGCCATTGCCCAAATCAGAACATTTTCTCACCTAAGTTCTTCTGGATTCTAATATATCTCCTGCTTTTCACTCTGGAATTCTTGCCTTTTTTCTCTTTTCGGAAGTATTCAAATGTCAAGTCCCATTTATGTCATCTCTCATCCCACAGAAACTCAAAACTATTGATAACTTTTTCCCCTTTAAGTTTTAATTTAATTTTTTTGGAGAGGGAATGCATTCGCAAAGTTTGAAATTCAAAAATATGAAAGTACACAGTGAAAAATCTCACTTCCATCTTTGTCTCCCCAACCCCCTCTCCAGGAACTACCAATGGTAATGGTTTCTTAAGTTTTCTTCCAAAAATATTTATACACGAACAATATGTTTTCAAGTTGCATAATATATGATAATTTCCCTCCTAAATCTTTTTTAAAATCTTTAAGAATAAGAACAATAACAATATTTCATTCTTCTTTTTTTTTTTTTGAATCAGAGTCTCACTCTATTGCCCAGGCTGGAGTGCACTGGCACACTCACAGCCACCGCAGCCTCAACCTGCTGGGCTCAGGCAATCCTTCCGCCTCAGTCTTCCAGGTAGCTGGAACTACAGGCATGTGCTACCACGCCCTCATTTTTTAAAATTCATTGTAGAGATGAGGTCTCGCCAAGTTGCCCAGGCTGGTCTCAAGCCCCTGGGTTCAGGCAATCTTCTCACCTCAGCCTCCCAAAGTGCTGGAATTATAGACGTGAGCCACTGTGCTTGGCCAATGTTTTATTCTTAATTTTTCTAGTGGAATAAGGAAAACACTAGTTCAAGTCCTGAAATCATTGGTTTTTGTGGAGACAGGCAAACTGGAGTGTTTTGCTTCAGTGTTGAAAAGAAATCAAAGAAACGGATTGTTAGTAGGAAAGGATACATGACTTAGAAAACAAAAAGAATTTAGCCTTTGTGCACTAACCATTCCAATCATGTGGACAACTATTATTTAAAAATCATCAAAGTAGGTAGCACAGATAGTGTCTGCTTTTAAAATTCTGAGAAAATCATGTCTCCCTAGAGGTGTGGTGACACTGTGAGATTAATTTTCAGAGCATAGGACTCTTAACTAGTCTGTGAATCATGGGAACCTTTTGAATTGGTACAAAGGAGCAGAAAGAGCAAACTTAATGGGAGATAATATGTGAATAATGATTGCATTTGGGAATAAACTTTTTTTTAGTAAATATTCGTGACTAGTAGAATGCAAACTCACCTACATAGCTATTTTACCAGACTAATGACTTCATTTACACGCTGTTTATGAAGTCTGTGGGCTTAGGAGTTTTAAAGATAATATTTTTTCAGCTCAGGCATGGACTTTTTACATTGAAGAGTGGTAGTTGTAACTAAATATTGTCAGCGCTAGTAAAAGAGGTAGGGGTGTGTGTGTATATGTATGTGTGCACACACACATACACACACACTAAAGAAAGTACAAAGTTTGGAAAAGTTCCCAATCCGTGCTGATGAATTGGCATGCTTAAGGTCTACAGAATCAATGAAGGGAGATTTATGTGTATAAAAGTACAGCATAAGAGTAAACAAATAGTGATGTTTTGGGGACAAGACAAGGTTCTAGATGCCAGTATTTTAGCCTAACTAAAAGAGGAAAACAAACTAGATTTCATGATCAGATCATGCTCAGTATCTTAAGATGTAAAAATTAGATGATGGTGTAAATTATTTATTCTATAAATATTGAAAACCTACTATAGTTCATCTTTTATGGAAATAATTGAAGCATTAGTGATTTCCCCTCCTGGGTAAATTGATGTGTTTATTACTTAGAATGAAGCTGAGCTGCTGTAAGAACTAACTGGGTACCGGATAGCCTATATAAGTGGAGATGGACTGGATTGGTTTAAGTCCAATCTATCCCACATATTACCTATGTCATCTTGGGTGAAGTCTTTACCCATTCTGA